TCAAGAAGTAAGCAAGTGAGGTCCAGTAGGCACAAGGCCTAGAAGAGTACAGAAGCGCTGATGGTCACAAGGCTGAAGCGCCTTGGTGAACACATCAGTAGTGTTGGCCTGAGTGGCCACGTAACGCAGACAAAGCTGGACACGCTGCTGCAGCTCACGAGCCAGAAAGTACCGCAGAGCGATGTGCTTCGTTCTGTGCTCCAGTCTGTGCTCCTCACACAAGGCAATGGCAGCCTTGTTGTCGACGTACAGCACTGGAGGAGAACGAGGCCGCTCTCCCAAGTCGGTCAGCAGGTAGGTGAGCCAGCGTAGCTCCTGGGCCGCCATGGCTGTGGCGTAGATCTCAGCCTCACAACTGGAGCTGAGAACTGAAGAAGAACGTGTAGAACGCCAAGAAACTGAACCGGAGCCAAGGCTGAAGGTGTAACCCTGAGACGACCGCTGAGTGGCCTGGTCGTCCGCCCAAGAAGCGTCTGAGTGTCCAGTGAGAACAACTCGGTCTCGCCCTCCAAGCACTAGCCCCATGCCCGACGTACTGCACAAGTAGCGCAACACCCTCTTAGCGGCATCCATGTGCTCCTTCCGGTGACGGCCAGGAGCGACATAGCGTGCAAGGATGCTAAGAGGGTATGCAAGGTCAGGACGAGTGCAGGTCATCAGGTACATGAGGCAGCCCACAAGCTCTGGATACGGGCCACTCGGCTCTACGGACTCATCCGAAGGCAGAGCTGAGAGCGAGTGACCGGTAGGCAGAGGAGTGGACTGAGGCGAGGAGTACGTGAAGCCGAAGCGCTGAAGGACCTGCTGCACCATGTGTGACTGAGTCAAGGTAATGGTGCGCCGTGCTCTGTCTCGGGTGATCCGCAAGCCAAGATAGCTTGTTAGTTCACCCAGGTCTGTGCACGTGTGTCTCTTCTGCAGCTCCGACTTCACGTGGGCGAGAGCCTGAGTGTCAGCAGTGGCAAAGACCAAGTCGTCGACGTACACGAGGATGTAGAACGGCGGCAACGAAGTGTCTGTGCGCAGAAACAGCGACGGGTCAGCAGTAGAAGGCGCGAACCCAAGTGCCGCAAGTGTCGTCCTCAGTGTGTCGTGCCACTCACGTGGTGCCTGGCGGAGACCGTAGACCGGCCGGCGGAGGCTCCACTGGGTACCAGGAGGAAACGACCCAGTGAAGCCAGGAGGGCGGCGCAGCCAGATCTCCTCGTGCAGACTACCCTGCAAGAAAGCAGTGCTGAAGTCAAGAGAGTGAAGCTCGTAGTCACGCTGAGCGGCTATGTGCAGCAGCACCCGAAGAGTGGTCATCTTCGGGGTGGGGGAGAAGGTCTGGAAGAAGTCGACTCCCTCACGCTGGCTGAAGCCTCGAGCAACGTAACGCGCCTTGAAGACAGGCGGAGAACCCGGCGGCCGCTTCACCCTGAAAATCCACATGCCACTGACGATGTTCGCCCCTGGTGGGGGAACAGCGTCGACGTAGGTGCCTATGGACTTCCAGGAAGCCATCTCTGCGTCCATGGCTGTCTGCCACTGAGAGGAGTAGGGACCCACCATCGCCTCAGCGTAAGAGCGCGGGGTCGGGATGTCTGGTGCATCCGGGTCTCCCTCAGGGGCAACTAGCATGGACACGAGATGAGGTAAAGCAGCAGCAAAGCACTGGAACTCCTCCTGCCTGTCCTCAAGGACGTCCGTGCCAAGAGCACACTCACCCCCGATGGACGGAGGACAGACAGACTCAGACTCAGCAACTAGGCTAGCGGCGTAGTCGAGACGACAAGCGGCAGCAAAGTCAACTAACTCAGCAACGAGAGCAGACGCAGCAGAGGACTCAAAGGTAGGGTCAGTGACAACAGTAGCAAGGAGACGCATGACAGTAGGACGGGCAGCACGAAGGGAGTCAGACTCCGGGTCAGGAAGCTCAGGAAGAGAGGACGCAGGAGGAGACGGCAGAAGGACACGCTGAGGAGCAGTGGAGGGACGCAGAGTCATGTAGTGAGTGCCAGGGACAGGGGGAGGACGCTCACGCGGGACACGACGACCAGTGCGAGCAGCACGGACAGGCGACGTAGAGCGAGACGCAGGCGACACAGGACGAGACTCAGGCTCACGACGCTCCGTAAGACCTCCCGTGGGACCAGAGTAAGGAGAAGGACCGGGGAGCGGCGAGGGAGGCGGTAACTGCGACTGCGACGTGACGGACGGAGGACACGCTAAGGAGGGAGCAGGACAAGGAGGAGGAGGCTGACCAAGAACCTGCTGGAGAAGCGGAACGAAGTACGGTCGGGGCCGCTCAGTGACTCCAGAACCAGGAGAGACGGCACCAGCACCCGCGGCAGCTCCAGCAGCACCAGCTCCAGGGTCCGCAGCACCAGCAGCAGCTCCAGCGCCAGGGTCCGCAGTACCAGCAGCAGCTCCAGCTCCAGGGTCCGCAGCACCAGCAGCAGCTCCAGCTCCAGGGTCCGCAGCACCAGCAGCAGCTCCAGCGCCAGGGTCCGCAGCACCAGCAGCAGCTCCAGCTCCAGGGTCCGCAGCACCAGCAGCAGCTCCAGCTCCAGGGTCCGCAGTACCAGCAGCAGCTCCAGCTCCAGGGTCCGCAGCACCAGCAGCAGCTCCAGCTCCAGGGTCCGCAGCACCAGCAGCAGCTCCAGCTCCAGGGTCCGCAGTACCAGCAGCAGCTCCAGCTCCAGGGTCCGCAGCACCAGCAGCAGCTCCAGCTCCAGGGTCCGCAGTACCAGCAGCAGCTCCAACCCCAGGGTCCGCAGTACCAGCAGGGCCTCCAGCAGCAGCAGCAGCACCTCCAGCACCAGGGTCCGCGACACCAGGCGCTCCACTCCGGAGAGTGCAGCGCCGCTCGTACCACTCACGGATCCGCTCAAGAGAGGGCAGCTCCCGCTGAGGAGGGGAGGCACCAGCACCAGTCGCAGCAGCACTCCTGGTCCCAGAGGCACCTCTCCGGAGGCTGCAGTACTCTGAGTACCACTCACGCAGCCGCTCCGAGGAGAGAGCTCCCCCAGGCGCAGGACTCCCAGGCTCAGCACCCCCAGACTCAGCACTCTGCAGCTCAGCACCCCCAAGCACAGCACCCCCAGACTCAGTACGTCCAGGCTCAGTACCCCCAGACTCCGCACCCCCAGGCTCCGCAACCGCAGGCTCCGCACCCCCAGGCTCAGCACCCCCAGGCTCAGCACCCCCAGGCTCCGCACCCCCAGCAGGACGAGAGTCAACAGCTACCTCAACAGGGTCAACCGGGTCTACCTGGGACACACCTGAGGGAGCGGCACCCTGAGGGGGGAGGGGGTCTACCACAGCAGCACCTGGTGCGAGGAAGAGAGGCGGGGGGGGGAGTGGGGCAGTGCGGTAGGGGAAGAGGCGGTAGTAGGGGACAGACTCGTCAAAGGTGACGTCCTGAGAGGCAAGGACCCGGCGCGAGGTGGCGTGGTAAAACTGCCAACCAGACGCGTCAGGGACAAAGCCAAGGAAGACACAGGGAACAGCGCGGGTGGAGAGCTTGTCCGCGGAAGCGTCGCGGACAAAGGCTCGAGATCCCCAGACCCGGAAACGCGACGCATCGCCAACCTCCCCCGTCCACAGCAGTGTGGGCGAGGTCTCCGGCATGGAGACACGGGGCCAGAGGTTGAGCTGATGCGCAGCGTACTGGACCGCAAACGGCCACAGAAAGTGGGGGGCAGCCGCATGGATCAAGGAGGTACGGGCGACCTCCATGACTAGGCCAATGCGGCGCTCCGCAACCCCATTCTGCTGTGGAGAGGCCGGAAGCGTGAACGACTGCTCAATGCCGTGCTCAGCACAGTAGGCTGCCAAGAGGTCGGAGGAGAACTCACCACCTCTGTCAGAGTGCAAGCGCAGGACAGGAAAGTCCGAGTGGAAACGCTCGCTGAGCTGGAGACGAGCTCTGCGGATCCAAGGGATCAAAACATCAGGGACTTCACCCTTGGTGCGCAAGGGGAAGACCGTGGTGTAGCGCGAGTAGTCGTCAACAACTATCAGGAAGTACCTCTCCTGACCCTGACCACGGACGCGGGCTGGGCCCCACACGTCCATGTGGAGCGTCTGCAATGGAGCAGTCGTCGGGGGAAAGGAGGAGGAGTGAGGAGCGGCACGCTGCCGCCCCTCGACACAGGGAAGACAGGGAGGAGCAGGCGAGGGAGGGAGAGGAGGGAGAACCCTGGGAAGACCAGAGACAAGGTACCTGGAGTGCATGGCCCGAAGGCGCTGCACAGACGGGTGACCAAGTCGGTGGTGCCAGAGGACAGTCTCGTGCGCCAGAGAGCGACACGAGCAGGGGGCCGACAGCTGACCTGACGCAGACGCAGACGCAGCGACCGCTACCTGAGGGGACTCAGTGGTCAGTGTGTACAGGTCCGACCCCGGCTGCCGAGTGAAGGTAGCCAAGTGGCGGCCCGTACGGGCACACGTGCAGTGCGTCACGCGCTCGTAGGCCGGGGTGAACTGGTGAACACCCGCGTCCTGGAGCGCACACCCAGCCACCAGGTTCGTAGAGAACGAGGGGAGGTGGAGACCGGACAGTGTGCCCGACGGGACCGCAGGACAGGGAAGGACAGTGGAGGAGGTCGCAATGACCGGACCCCCAGAGGGGTCAGCGAGGGAGACAGCAACTGGCCGAGTAAGCGGCTCAAGGGCAGTGCGGTCACGAAAGAAACAGCGAGAAGCACCTGAGTCCAGAGTGAAGGTGTGCAGTGCCTCAGTCGACTCAGTACCAGGGGGCGCAGACTCACTAGCACCTAGAGCAGCAGCCTCACCAGCACCTGGGGTAGCAGCTGCACTAGCACCTAGAGCGGCAGCCTCACTCACAGGACAGGGCATCTGCACCTGTCCATCACCAGAAGCTCCCGACCGACCCACTCCAGAGCGACTACCACTACGGCCACCCCGACAGCCCAAACTGGCGTACCACTCACGAAGCTGCTGGGGTGAAAGAGGACACTGCAGCTGCACCTGTCCACTACCAGAAGCTCCCGACCGACCCACTCCAGAGCGACTACCACTACGGCCACCCCGACAGCCCCAACTGGCGTACCACTCACGAAGCTGCTGGGGTGAAAGAGGACACTGCAGCTGCACCTGTCCACTACCAGAAGCTCCCGACCGACCCACTCCAGAGCGACTACCACTACGGCCACCCCGACAGCCCCAACTAGCGTACCACTCACGAAGCTGCTGGGGCGTGAGGGACTCACGCGCACGGCCCTGGAGCTGCATCTGGCCTCGCCAGGAGCAGCAGTAACAGCAGTAGCGGCAGTAACAGCAGTAACAGCAGGAGCAGTACCAGTGGGAGTAGAAAAGGCAGTAGCAGCAGTAGCAGTGCGGGCAGGGCAATGCTCACCAGTGGTCGGCGTGGCAGGCGCAAGACGGTGGCGACCGCGGGGCCGCTACAACTGCAGGGCGGGGCCAGGCCGCAGCAGGGAGCTCCGCGGCAGCTGCTGCAGGGCGAGGCCGGGCCGCGACGGCAGTTGCTCCAGGTGCCTGGGGCGGCTGCTGCAGGTGCGGGCTGCCCTAGGGGCGGCTACTGCAGGTGCGGGCTGCTCGAAGGGCGGCTGCTGCAGCGGCGGGCGGCTCCAGGGGCGGCTGCTACAGTGGCGGGCGGCTCCAGGGGCGGCTGCTGCAGTGGCGGGCGGCTCCAGGGGCTGCTGCTGCAGTGGCGGGCGGCTCCAGGGGCTGCTGCTGCAGTGGCGGGCGGCTCCAGGGGCTGCTGCTGCAGTGGCGGGCGGCTCCAGGGGCTGCTGCTGCAGTGGCGGGCGGCTCCAGGGGCGGCTGCTGTAGTGGCGGGCGGCTCCAGGGGCTGCTACTGCAGTGGCGAGCGGATTCCAATGACGGGACTCCCCGCCCACGATTGGCCAAAATCAAAGCCGACACCGTCAACGCATCTGCTCGTCACGGGGAAGCCGGTCGATACCGCAGACACTAATGACATCATCGGAATTCCGCGCTCCCTCCTGGAGCAAAACTTTGTGAGAGCCTTCGCAACTGACGCCGACGCCGCCACTGACACGGGCCTTGGAAAGGAGCAGGACGATGCATCAGAACGACACAAATATTATCGAAATAATGTCGGCTATCGTGACGATCCTGAAACCTGGCACCAACGACTTGGACACCCCTCACACGCTACACTCAAAAACTCACTCCTCCTGCCTCGAGATGGCTTCCTCACCGCGGACTCAGCTGACCCATCGTGCACCATCTGCCCAACAGCGTCGCTCACCCACAAGCCGTTTCCCGACTTACCGCCGGGATACAAGCCACTGGACAAGGTCTACAGCGACTTCATGATCCTCAGCCACGAAGGGCTCGACGATGAACAATATACGCTTACTTTCATCGATGCATGCACGTGCTACGTCTGGGCCATTAACACCGACTATCGCTCCCTTGCCTTCGAGTGCTTCGTGGCGTGGATGAAGCGGGCTGAGCGTCAATCTGGGCTAAAGCTGAAGAGCTACCAAACAGACGGGGGTCTAGAGTTTTTCTCAACGGAGTTCAAAGAACTCTTCAAGCAGAAGGGGATTGAGCACCTGGTGTCCCTGCCCTACGCTCACGAGCAACAAGGAGTAGCAGAACGGACAAACAGGAGCCTCGATACATGGATGAGGGCCCTGATGAAGTAGTCGGCCATCTCAACCAAATATTGGCCGTTTGCGATGAATCGCGCTATTCAACTGCACAACTTGCTGTCCTCCCGAAGCCTCGAGAACAACAACTCCCCCTACAGGGCATGGACAGGCAGAAAAGCAGACACGCGTCTGCGCCGGGTGTCGTGTGTCTCCTTTAGAAATCCCTTAACGGGATTGAGCAGGCACCTCGCCTGTGGCAGCAGTATCTCCACTCCGTTCTTCTTGACCTCGGTTTCATCCAGCTACCACCTCGGCTTGTACCGTCGGGAATCGCGCGGCAAGTTCATTCTCCTCGTCGCCTACGTCGACGATCTCCTCTACACCGGCAATGACATAGAGCTGCTGGACCAGTTCGAAGCTGACATCAAGGAGAAGCTCGAGGTGACGATCAATCACAACGTCACACTATTCCTAGGACTTAATGTCACTCAGTCTGCTTCTTCTATTCACCTCTCCGCCGCCAAATACGCCGAAACACTCGCGAAGCGGTTCGCCATCGCACCAATCAACCTCACCACTCCCTACCGCACTCCTCCTCCTAATCATGAGCCGAACACCACACCCCTCTCCATCGACAATCATCGGCTCTACCAACAGCAGCTGGGATGCCTCCTGTTTGCCGCCGTCACGTGCCGGCCCGATCTCTCCTACGTCGCAAGCCAGCTCGCACAGTACCTGAAGCGACCTGAAGGGGAGAATCTACTAGTCTGCGCCGAGCACTACAATACTTCATCTCAACTCCCGACGTCGGCCTCACCTACGAAGCTAACCTCACCGCTACTCTGCAGCTCCATGGCTACGTAGATGCTGACCACACACGGGATGTTGACAACAGACGCTTCCGCGCAGGATTCATCTTCCAACTCCAACCTGCGGGACTCATCTCCTAAACTCCCAAAAGCAGGAACTCATCGCCCTTTCGTTTGCTGAAGCTAAGTTCATCGCCGTCAATGCAGCTATTCATCTAATGGAGTTCCTGCAAGAAGCAAAAGTGACGATGAACGGGCACTTCACGTTACTCTGCGACAATCAGAGCGCGATCAGATTGCGAACAAGTCCGGCTTCATAAACCGCACAAAGCACATCACACTTCGCTACTTCTTCGTCAAGGACGAAATCGACAAAGCGAGAGTCAAACTCACGCATTGCCCAACCGGTGACATGGCAGCTGATTTCCTGACGAAAAAATTGCCACGCCAGCAGTTTCTGTCAAGATTCTAGGCAAGAATGAATGCATTGAAAGGAGAACAAGAGTACAAGTACCTAACCCTAATGGGGTTGTACCCTATATTGTCTACCCCACTACAGCCTACCAACACATTATAATTTAACACACCCCCATAGGCAAAGTGGGGGAGAACAAGGGGTCACAAGACCAGTCCAGCAAAGCAAAGCAAGCCCAGGGTGGATCACAACGTCACCACACTCTGAACACAAGCAAAGGCCACAAGGCCAGTTCACATGCAGAGCTATATATATAGAACAAGACAAGCAACACAGTGATCAAAACCTAGCAAGCAAGCAGCGATATATATAAATCACAGTACAAAGAAAGTCAAGCAGTAAGCAAATGAGGTAATGTGGACACAAGGCCTAACGCAGTACAGTGCCGCTGATGATCACTAGGCGGGAGCGCCTTGGTGAAGACATCAGCAGTGTTGGCCTTCGAGTCCACGTACACAAGACGAAGCTGACCACGCTGCTGCAGCTCTCGAGCAAGAAAGTAGCGAAGAGCAATGTGCTTCGTTCTGTGCTCCAGTCTGTGCTCCTGACACAAGGCAAGGGCCGCCTTGTTGTCTCCGTACAGAACTGGAGGAGAACTAGGCCGCTCTCCCAAGTCAGTCAACAGGTAGGTGAGCCAGCGTAACTCCTGTGCAGCCATGGCCGTGGCGTAGATCTCAGCCTCACAACTAGAGCTGAGAACAGAAGAAGAGCGGGTGGACCGCCAAGAGACAGAACCAGAGCCAAGGCTGAAAGTGTAACCCTATGACGACCGCTGCGTAGCCAGGTCGTCCACCCAAGAAGCGTCTGAGTGACCAGTGAGTGCAACTCTGTCGCGTCCTCAAGCACCAGCCCCATGCCTGATGTACTGCACAAGTAATGCAGCACCCTCTTAGCAGCCTCCCAGTGCTCTCGCCTGTGTCTCCTAGGCGCAACGTAACGAGTAAGGATGCTAAGAGGGTACGCGAGGTCAGGTCGCGTGCAAGTCATCAAGTACATGAGGCAGCCTACAAGCTCTGGGTACGGGCCACTCAGCTCTACGGACTCGTCCGAAGGTGGAGCTGAGAGCGAGTGACTGGTAGCCAGAGGTGTGGCCTGTGGTGAGGAGAACTGGAAGTCGAAGCGCTGAAGGACCTGCTGCACCATGTGTGACTGAGTCAGGGTAATGGTGCGGCGTGCTCTGTCCCG